AAACCTGCTGAAGACCTTGTTAACCACCACCCATTCCAACGGCATCCCTGCTGGGTACCTTGTTCCAAAGAACGGTTGTGTCTCACTGGCACATGACTTTGATGGCTCCATCCAATCCCTGCCCCTGTTTTGAAAGGATCACGTCGATAAATACACTGACATAGCTGTTAACATATGAATCTATTTACTCTTACAGTAGCATGTTTACTCTATCTACATGTTCGTACATTTGTAAATATATATTTATATAGGATAATATAAATTATATTTTAAAAACTTATTTAAAAATTTAAGTTTTTGAATTGAATTAATTTTTTAACATTATATCATAGCATTGATGACTACACAATCACGAATTTAAATTTTATTATTTTTATTTATTTGATAAAAATTAAACACATAATGATACAAGTCTGTGCAAGTTTCAACATCAAAACACTTTCACTTGAGAAAATATGTTAAAAAATAATATAAATCATATCTTAGAATATCATTTAAAAATTTAAGATTTTAAATTAAGATAATTTTTTGATATAATATTAAAGTCTTGATTATTAAGTGATCATGGGTTTAAATTTCACCATTATCAATTATTTGATAATAAAAATTAAACATATGATAATATGGATTTATATAAATTTTAAATTTAAAAAACTAAAAAAAAAATTATTCGAGAGAGTATTAAAAAATAATGAATATAAATTATATTTTAAAACATATTTATCGGTTAACATTTCAATATAGAAACATGTATAATGCAAAGAAACCTATGTTATTCTCCATTACCAGAATCAAAAACATAGTTGGAAAGTAAACCTAGCTAATTACACGAATAAAAAGAGAGGATGAACAGGAGAAGTTTGCTTACTCGTAATGAGTGGGAGAAATGTCCTGGAAGAAGACTTTGGTTCTAGAAGGATCAACATATCGGTTGACCCATCGAGCCCATGTGGTTAGTCCCTTGTAGAAAGCAATTAGACGGTTCATGTTTTTGTACAATTTATTCCCTTCTTGGATGTAATCCCATCTGCAAATTATATAAATATTATATCAGCCATGCTGTGATTTCTTTTATATATATGAAAATATGAGGAATGGGGTTGCGCACGTACGGCTGAGATCTTCCTGAATGAGTCCACCAATGCCAGCTGTTGAAGATCAACATGTCCATGCCTCGCCATGCCTTGCCATTGCGTATCGTGTCGAGCTTCAAGATCCGTCCTGCCTTGTTATCATTGACAAGATCTACCAGGAATGGTGTCCGATATAGTAGTATCTTGACTCCGTATTCCTGCTCAAGAAAGCACAGGCAAGCCCTTTAATTTATAGCTAACTTTAATCTTTATTTATTTTTATAATATTTAAATATGTTAATATGAATATTTTTTATTTTTTAAAATTTATTAACACAAAAGGGTGTGCTTATATGATTAGAACTCTATTTTTATATTTTTAGTGTGAAAATATAATATTTTCTAAATTGTTTTTCATTTTGAAACACATTAAAATAATATTTTTATTTTAAAAAACATCAAAATAATCTAAAATTATAAAAAAAAATAATTTAAAATAAAAATATAAAAAATTACTAAACACAATATCAAACATTACTTGTAAAAGTAAGAAAAAGTAGGTAGACTAGAAGAGAATGAAATAATACTTTTTAAGTGGTAGAAAAAAATGACAGCAACTTGGCACGTAACCAAGTTTCTACTATGCCATCTGCAGGCCACACTTCAGATTTTAGAAAGTCAACTAAACTCCGAAGATTTTTTTTTATTTTTTCAGAAGAAAACAACAAATCAAGAGACAAAAATAAAAATTATTACGAGAATGTTGAAATTTCCAACATGACAGCAATCTTTATTCAAAAATGGATTTGTATAAAACAGTGTAAAAAATAAAAAATCAAATCCAAGAGTGTTATAGTCATGGGCTTTTGCTGGTATTCGTGGTAACTGTTATTATTATTAGAGATTTGTTTTGGTAAACTTTTAAATAATTTTTTATATTATTTAAATTATTTTATTTTTAATATCAATACATTAAAATTATAATTAATGAAATAATATAAATTTAATAATTCTTTCAAATAAAATATGCTGTCAAAATATATAGAAAAAAATGACAGCAACTTGGCACGTAACCAAGTTTCTACTATGCCATCTGCAGGCCACACTTCAGATTTTAGAAAGTCAACTAAACTCCGAAGATTTTTTTTTATTTTTTCAGAAGAAAACAACAAATCAAGAGACAAAAATAAAAATTATTACGAGAATGTTGAAATTTCCAACATGACAGCAATCTTTATTCAAAAATGGATTTGTATAAAACAGTGTAAAAAATAAAAAATCAAATCCAAGAGTGTTATAGTCATGGGCTTTTGCTGGTATTCGTGGTAACTGTTATTATTATTAGAGATTTGTTTTGGTAAACTTTTAAATAATTTTTTATATTAAAATATATAAATTATTTTTAATATCAATACATTAAAATAATTTAAAAATAATAAAAATATATTAATTTAAAATAAATTTCAAAAATATTTTTAAAAAACAAAAATAAACCAGTTTAAACCTCCTAAACCTTCAAATGATGCCATGTGATACCTTACATGTATATGCAAAGATGATTAAAAAAATAGATTTATCGGAGTAATAATTATTTAGTTAGTGTGCTTTACTCAAAAGAAAAGATAATTATCCTGCTTGTAATTATGTTTCAAATAGGGTTTTAATAAAATTAAAAATAATAATTTTTTTTATTATTTTATTATTTTAATATGCTGATATAAAAAATAATTTTTAAAATGAAAAAAATAGATTTTTAATATATTTTTAAATAAAAAATATTTTAAAAAAATATTACTACAGCACGAAACAATATAATTAGAGATTGCTGCCATTTTTCTTTAGCTTTTACAAAACAGTTTGAAAGGTTTAAGGGCATTTCTATATTGGGTAGGAGACAACATTCCATTCCAAAAGGCAAAGAAGACAATGAGCCATTGGTTAATCAAGCACTTTAAGGTTACTGCTAACAGAGGTAACTTTCTGCGCTCACAAGTATTGGCTGGAAAATAATTAAAAAAAAAAGAGAGGAAGAAATCTATCAATCAAGTTCAGATGCTTCGTTTAATCTAAAAAATATTATATTGACTTTTCTGCCATCGTGGACACCAATTTCTGCAAAAGAATTTGGTCTAAATATTGTGTTTTTTTAAAAAAAAATTGTTTGAAAATAATTTTTTATTTATTTAATAAAAATTAAACACATAGTAATACAAGTCTATGCAAGTTTCAACATCAAAGAACTTTTACTTGAGGAGATATGTTAAAAAATAATATAAATCATATCTTAGAATATTATTTAAAAATTTAAGATTTTAAATTGAGATAATTTTTTGATATAATATTAAAACCTTAATTATTAAGTGATCATGAGTTTAAATTTCACCGTTATCAATTATTTGATAATAAAAATTAAATATATGATAATATGGATTTATATAAATTTTAAATTTAAAAAATTCAAAAAAAAAATTATGCGAGAGAGTATTAAAAAATAATGAATATAAATTATATTTTAAAACATATTTATCGGTTAACATTTCAATATAGAAACATGTATAATGCAAAGAAACCTATGTTATTCTCCATTACCAGAATCAAAAACATAGTTGGAAAGTAAACCTAGCTAATTACACGAATAAAAAGAGAGGATGAACAGGAGAAGTTTGCTTACTCGTAATGAGTGGGAGAAATGTCCTGGAAGAAGACTTTGGTTCTAGAAGGATCAACATATCGGTTGACCCATCGAGCCCATGTGGTTAGTCCCTTGTAGAAAGCAATTAGACGGTTCATGTTTTTGTACAATTTATTCCCTTCTTGGATGTAATCCCATCTGCAAATTATATAAATATTATATCAGCCATGCTGTGATTTCTTTTATATATATGAAAATATGAGGAATGGGGTTGCGCACGTACGGCTGAGATCTTCCTGAATGAGTCCACCAATGCCAGCTGTTGAAGATCAACATGTCCATGCCTCGCCATGCCTTGCCATTGCGTATCGTGTCGAGCTTCAAGATCCGTCCTGCCTTGTTATCATTGACAAGATCTACCAGGAATGGTGTCCGATATAGTAGTATCTTGACTCCGTATTCCTGCTCAAGAAAGCACAGGCAAGCCCTTTAATTTATAGCTAACTTTAATCTTTATTTATTTTTATAATATTTTAATATGATAATATGAAAATTTTTTATTTTTTAAAATTTATTAACACAAAGGGTGTGCCTATATGATTAGAACTCTATTTTTATATTTTTAGTGTGAAAATATAATATTTTCTAAATTGTTTTTCATTTTGAAACACATTAAAATAATATTTTTATTTTAAAAAACATCAAAATAATCTAAAATTATAAAAAAAAATAATTTAAAATAAAAATATAAAAAATTACTAAACACAATATCAAACATTACTTGTAAAAGTAAGAAAAAGTAGGTAGACTAGAAGAGAATGAAATAATACTTTTTAAGTGGGTTTGGAAAATCCCAGTAGAGCTTGGCAGGTGAGATTGAAAGGGATATTAGAACGGATTGTTCAAACATTTTGGATATTAAACTCGAAAATCAACTAGGAAGTCTAGAAAATGACAAGAGAATATAGACAATTAGAGGATTATTATATATTATCCATATAGTTAACAGTCGTTTTTAATAAAATAAAATGGTGTACAGTATTTGCCACATTACAAGATTATTACTTGGAAAAAAAGCAGTATAAAAAGAGAATTTATTAATATTGTACTCCGTGTTTAAGAGTATTTTTATTTAAAAATATATTAAAATAATTTATTTTTAATTATTTTATTTTTAATATCAATATATTAAAATTATAATTAATGAAATAATATAAATTTAATAATTATTTCAAATAAAATATGCTTTTAAAATATATAGCAAACAATAAGCTACTCAATTACAACTTGGCACGTAACTAAGTTTCTGCTATCCCATACACTTCAGATTTTAAAAAGTCAACTGAACTCCGAAGACTTTTTTATTTTTTCAGAAGAAAATAACAAATCAAGAGACAAAAAAAAAAATTATTACGAGAATGTTGAAATTTCCAACATGACAGCTATCTTTATTCAAAAATGGATTTGTATAAAACAGTGTAAAAAATAAAAAAATCAAATCCAAGAGTGTTATAGTCATGGGCTTTTGCTGGTATTGTAGTAACTCCTGTTATCATTACGAGTATTTGTTTTGAAGTGTGATTTTAATTTTTTTAAATAATTTTTTATATTAAAATATATATAAATTATTTTTTATTTTAAAAATTTATTTTTAATATCAACACATCAAAATAATTTAAAAATACTAAAAATATATTAATTTAAAATAACTTAAAAAAAATTTCAAATTTCTTTTTAAAAAACATAAACAAACAGGCCTAAACCTTCAAATGATGACATGCCTCTTATAACTTACTTGTATATGTAAAGATGATAATAATAATAATAATAAAAAAAAAAGATAAATTTATTTGAGTAATAATTATTTAGTTAGTAGGCTTTACTTAAAAAAAAGATAATTATCCTGCTTGTAATTAAGTTTCAAATAGAGTTTTAATAAAATTTAAAAATTTAAATTCTTTGTTATTATTTTAATATGCTGATATATAAAATTATTTTTTAAAATAAAAAAATAGAATGTTAATATATTTTTAAATAAAAATATATTTTAAAAAAATATTACTAAAGTACGAAACAATATAATTAGAGATTGCTGTCATTTTTCTTTAGCGTTTACAAAAACAGTTTGAAAGGTTTAAGGGCATTTCTATATTGGGTAGAGACAACATTCCATTCGAAAAGGCAAAGAAGACAATGATCCATTGGTTAATCAAGCACTTTAAGGTTACTGCTAAAAGAGTTAACTTTCTGCGCTCACAAGTAATTGGGTGGAAAATAATTAAAAAAAGAAGAAGAAGAAATAAATCTATCAATCAAGTTCAGATGCTTGGTTTAATCTAAAAAATATTATATTGACTTTTCTGCCATCGTGGACACCAATTTCTGCAAAAGAATTTGGTCTAAATATTGTGTTTTTTAAAAAAAATTTGTTTGAAAACAAGTTTTTTTATTTTTAACATTAAATCATTAAAAAAATACCTAAAAATATAAATTTAATATATTTTTTTAAATTAAAACACACCCCGAAAACAAAACAAAATCCTAGATACTTCCAAACCCGCTCGATAGATCTAGCTCTTTTAAATTTGAAGCATTTATTACAGCACAAGGATCACATGTAACCGGCAAATTCACAGAAAAAGCCTACCACCGCCACCAATCACGCTCCTGTTTTAACGCTGAAAACGCCACGCACGCAGACCAACTAAAAATAAAGTAGCAAAAACTGGGACTGGAAATAGAGGAATTTAAATGAAGCAATAAAA